TGGATAGGTAGGTTGAATGTTTCTTAGAGTTTTTTTTTTACTACGTTACGTGTTGATTTTTTTAATATTTTAAATTGTTCAGAGATTGAGACATTGCTTATTTTAATGATTGGTTGTTCTGAAAACAACTTCACCAAACATCGTGCCTAATTCTTGTGCTTAATGGCTTTGTACACATACCAACAGAATCGAGGTAACTTCACGTAGACGTTCCACTTTAAGCAAATTGTAAGTACTCATTTCGGAATTCAAATAATAACCCAGTCACGTGATCTGCAGCATTATAAGCATTTCAAATCAATTACTTGAACACGTACCCTTTATCTCACTGGTGACTTTGTTGATGGGCATCGGGGAATGAGTTTAATCAATCTAATATATACAAATTTATGTATTTAATTTCTCCGTAGTTTCATTTAAGTTTGTTTTGGCTCCTGTAGCAGTTGATAATAAATGTTTATAACTTTCAGCAATTACCTTACAAGTAATTAAACCGGCGATAATTTCATAAGATGTTGTAATTTATTCAGCACACACGTGGTGAACGTGAAATACAAATAAATAGTTATATTTGTTACTCCCTCTTCCAGTGTTGCTGAAATATCGGCTTTTGGTTAAATGACAATATATAAATTTTAAGATACTGTTTAACACGATTAATTATAGTACTATTTATGATTTAACCATAGTCGGTTAACATTGGTCATACCACTTATTATTTCAAATAATCAGTTAACATTTAGCAATTAAACATAACGATTTAAAATTTACGCCAAAGAAGTATAACATTTAACCATAACTATTACGCTGTTCATTTTAGTTTCCCAATATTTAAACGCACGTAATTAACGTTTAATCATAGTTAATTTAACATTTGCTTTGTTATTTATTACCCGGTCGTGTTTGAGCATTTTTGCCATTTTTTTTCATGATAAATAAGAAATATTTATTGATAAATCGGTATTTTTTATTCTGTTGCGTATTTGTGACATATGTTTTTACGTCATAATATTTCGTTTTGTAAGATTTTGAATTTTGAAGAAAAATATGCGTTTTTTACATAACACAATATTGGCCTAACTTTTTGTGAAGGATATTTGAGGAAGCGTTTTACAGACTGATGCTAAAGGTGCGGAGCAAAACATAGGCCTAACTTTTTGTACAGCATTCTTAACAAGATTGCTTTTGTAATTTGTTCATTGGGAAGTTTTATTGTAAATATTTTTGTTGTTTCTGACGAATACATCTTGGTCGTAAGAACACTTATTTAAATCCTTTTCTGAGTTAACTATTTATTAACCATACTTTTATTTATAGGTAATTGTCTAAAAATAATTTTGTTTCTTTTTTAAACGTGAGTAAATTGTATCGAAATAATAGGCCCAGTTGACGTTGGTAATAACTGTTGTCTTGTCTTAGGCCTTTTTCAAAGTTGTATGCCTACTATCTTTTATATCTGTGATTTGTTTGTTTATTTATTTATTCTATAAGTATTTTGCAATAATTTTGCAGGTGGCGTTAACAATGACAAAGAGTCCTCGATTTTGGTCCTTTCTTATGCCCGCTACTGTCGCTATCGCGCCATTTTGACGCGACTGAACGGCCTAAATGACAAGTGGCTTAAAAACGCACTAGTGGTGGCCTTAGGAGGCGTCAGCTTGCCTAATCGGAGAACAAAAGTCCTTTTCTGCCGAGACACGTTTGATCACGATGCTCTTGCGAACAATGACTCTAACTGCGATCATTTAGGTAAGTAGCATTGCTTTATTTTACACTTATATTCATGCAACGAAAATAACCCCAGGAACTATAATACGAAATACTGAGCCACTAACGATAATTTCTGGGGATATATGTCGTTATTTTATTTGCATTAATAGAAATGTCTAGTAGTAGTAAGGAACTCCAATTTGCGTTTAAAAGTAAGTGAAGAATATTTTTTATTTTATTTGAAGTTACACAACTGGAACAGGTGCATGCTTGAGGCCATGTATCAAAAAGTTAACGAAAGTTTCAATGCAATACGTTTCATACTTGTCTGATTATTTTGACGTAACCATTAAATATAAGAAACAGAAAAAAGTTACAATAATAATTAAAACTCTTACTACCATACTTATTTGGTTGTTTAACCAAATTATGTTTTTGTATTATTGTATTTCTAAACAAATTTGCTGGAGAAGCAGCGAGCAAAATATTTTAATCTTAAAACGTTTCCAATTTAATGAAGCGAAAAATATCAAGTCGAATATAATGAAACAAAATGCTTGTTTGAGTTACTTGTAATTACGTTAGAAGAATTTAAGAATTATTTTAATATATTAAATTCAAATGCAGTGGATTTTTTTAAAGCAAAGCAGAACAGTTGAGCCACAAGTAATATAGTTTCTATCAGAGACAAGTGTAAAGTTCAAACTGATTTTATTCTCAGCATTTCTTCAAATTTGTAATTTTCTCAGCAATAAGTAAAAGATTGGAGTGGCGATTTACTGTCAAACAATAATTTTGTAAGGCCGAAATAACTGTTTTTAATTCCTTAAGTATGTGAATTTAGCGAGTTAAGTTGATTAACTCTTTGTCTCTAGTAAATTATCGACTGATGTCCGAGTCATCAGTTAATCCTAAAGTAACCTCGTTGAAACTATGTGGAAAATAACCTGTTTCTAGGAGTGGAAATAAAAATCAAAAATGCCTGACAAGTCGCACAGAAGTTGGGGGCATTTTGGAAATTTAAATAATTTGTACAGGAAATGGAGAGAAAAACAACGAAATGGCCATAAATTTACAGAAGTCACAGGGTTGTTTGACAGAAAAATTGAAAAATGTAACCAGGTAAGTAACTGGAGTGTTACGAGAGGACATGAAAGAAAATTACCGAAGGTTTACATAAAAATATAATAAGCAGTAAGTAAAATAACACAAATGCTATAGACTGCTAAGGGCAAATGGTCGCCATTGTTTGAGATATTGATAGAGTATTGTTGAAGAAGCCACAAATAAGATGGACGAGAAATTTGATTATGTACAGAATAAGAAGTTATAATTATTTGAAAACTTTTAAAGTAACCACAGTACATGAGATGTTGATGGGGAGGTTGCCACACAACAAAGGAATTTAGATGAACTATCTACAAAGAAAGGAAACAGTACTATTAAAAGACAACATCACGAGAGCCAATATTCTACCAAAGTCAGAAAGCTTAGGTTTCAAACTGTAACTAACAATTATGTGTATGTGTGTGAAGGAAACAAAGTAAAAACGAGAAAACGACTTCCGTGTTCTTACAGATAGCTTTTGTTTGTTTGTTAAGAATTTCGCGCAAAACTACACGAGGGCTATCTGCGTTAGCCGTCCCTAATTTAGCAGTGTAAGACTAGAGGGAAGGCAGCTAGCTAGTCATCACCACCCACCGCCAACTCTTGGGCTACTCTTTTATCAACGAATAGTGGGATTGACCGTCACGTTATAACGCCCCCACGGCTGAAAGGGCCAGCATGTTTGGTGTGACGGGGATTCGAACCCGTGACCCGCAGATTGCGAGTCGAGCACCCTAACCACCTGGCCATGCCTGTAGATAGCTACAACCATTCTGTTAATACGGACTGTCCTTCAAAATGTTATGGAAATATTACTATTTCTTGGTCAAACGTAGTTTTGTACTGATAATTTGACCTTATCTTGAAATAATCACATTTCGAACGAGACTTAGATCGGCTATGTTACATAATTCATGTTAACGAAAATGAACGATAGTCTAAGTCTTACTTTTGATCTAAGTTCTATAATTAACAAAATCTAAGCGCTACAATAGTAATTCACAAACTTCTAACAAAACCTTCCCTATTCTCCATGATACTGAATCATATTTCATGTACATTTTGAATTTTATTTTTAAAAATTTCATACCTACCTCACGCAAACGATGGTTATTTCGAAAAAAAACCATAGCCTAACAACACAACAACAACGAGACGCCTATGGACCGAACTTACAATACGCATAAGTTAATAAGTAAATTACATAAAAAAATTCGTAATATTTTGCATTCCGTTTAAACACTTGTTGGAAAGAAGCGTTTAAGAACTCTGTCAAACGGTCTCACAATATTTTATTTCCTTGCCGTTTCAAAATTGCTACACTATCTGATGGAATTATTTGCTTGTTTTCTTTCCTGCTAAAATGATGAGATGGAAACCTTCTCAAACACTAAGAACCGCAAATGCAAACACAAGTTAAAGGAAATTAATCGATCACCAGTTCCTGTTTACAATGGGTGGAGCTTTTACGCATAAAATTAGGGTTAATACTCTAATTAAAGACAATCTGGTAAACTACGTATAAGTAAGGAGAAAATTCTTCGAAACGTTTCTCATAATCGGGAAATAACTTCTTGGAAGAATAATAGTAACCATTGTAGTGTATATTTTATTAATTATATTATACAGTTAAAAATGTATTAATTCATATTATTTTCATATTTATTTATACAGTAACATTTCTTTATGTTTGTTTCGGAAAAGCGGTAACCAAGTTTTTATTGTTTACACAATACGTACTTACAGTAGTTCTTTTAACGTCGCGTACTTTGATATTTCATATTTTTGTTTCGGAAATGTACCTATCAAGTTCATGTATTTCTCTTATCATTGAAGCGCCCAATCTGAAAGGCAGACCCCGGAAAAAGAAAGTTAAGATAAAAAGACACAATTCTCAGAGCAGCGAGTCCAATGCTTCTGATGAAGAAGGAGATGCTAAGGTTGGTTACTGGAGGATTTCATGCGGTCGATATATGTACTTTTTTTTTCAGTTTTAATATGCAAAGAAAGAAATTGAAGTTATTGTGTATAGTATCTGGAAGTTAACTATTCAGTAGGATAAGACTGTTACAGTTAAAGAGACCAGAAGATTTATATATATATATATCTTGCATATTTGAATATCTTAGATAACCTCCTGACATCAAATCCCACAGTTATGTTACATTTACGTCGTTGTTTGACACTTGTAATACATTTAACACTAGGGAAAAATACCATAGTAATAAGTTATGGTACAAGCTTTAATACCTTTGACATTTCTATTCAAACGATTGTTCTTTACACGTATAATATCGCATTTATTAAAATAATCATTTTCCCTACAAAGTTTCTTTTTTAAATAAAACTTTTATTGTTAAATGAAATTTTACTTTAAAGTAGTTTGTAATACTTTGTTGTTTTAACTTTAGAGACAGAAATGTGTAAAAACAAGTTTACTTTTTGCGTGCACAAGTTATCGCACAAAAATCCTTTCAATACCAGCTTTAAAGTCTGTCTGGATAATTGACGTAACCATTGATATAACTTCGAGTATCGTTGTAAATTCGAAACAGTTGTCACTATAGCTTTAAGTACAGTCTATTTTTACTCAGTGGTGTAGTGCTATAGAAGATTCTTGCATTTAAATCCTAACTTTCAATACTAAAACCTTCTTTAGCGTCAAAACTTGTGTACTTGAGAATTATCGCACCAGTGATCGGAACGTCGCACCTGTTCTAAAAACTAACCTTCCTTACTGTAAAAAGTTGTAACTCGTAATAAAATTATACTAACTCTATTTTTGTGAACCCATTTTAAATATAGAAAATACTTTGTTTGCTTGTTTTGAATTTCGCGCATCACCACCCACCGCCAACTCTTGGGCTACTCCTTTATCAACGAATAGTGGGATTGTACGTCACATTATAACGTCCCCACGGCTGAAAGGGTGAGCATGTTTGGTGGTGGTGGGGGGGATAAATAAAATACATCGATAACTAATTATTTGAGACTACTTATAGTAATATTGCCGACACCGAACACGCAACTTCTAAATTAAGAAGCAAAGTTTTAAAAATTCTTATACAGTTCATCAACTTAGTATATTTCTAGCTCCACTACAGTTTTGAAACCTTTGCACACCTGTCTTGCCAACAATAATAACTTAAAAAAGGGGAAAGAAGCGACTTTAGGTGTATATTATGTAAACAATAAGTGTTTAAAAATGTATGTTTTAAACACAGTATAATTGTAAAATGTTTTAATAGCGTATTCATATGCCTTAATAGCCACGTGACATATGGAAACATTTCACCATTTTAACCCTCTGACACCTGCACTTGAGCCGAAGCGATCGCTCAGTGCCTGGCGCCAACTCCCGAGGGAGAGTGATAGTGTATGTGCTGGGCGGTCAGAGAGGGCTCTACCTATGGACACGAGGAATCGGAGATACACTGAGAGTTTGGTTATGAAAAACTTAATTTCGAGTGTAAACTGACTAACTTATTTTCTACATACATATTTTTAGGTTTGAACTATTGGAACTTAGCTTCAATTTGTAAGTGCTAGAGCGGCACTCCAACAGCACTACACCCCTATTTATAGTATTGATATACAAATTGTTACCACACTTTCACGTATTTTTGTGAATTCAACAACATTGTTGCTGTAGCTTTTAAGTACGGTTTGCACTGCTGATGTAACGTAATTGTAGCTATAATGTCGCATATAGTTTATATGTTAATTTCTTTTATTGACCTAAACGTTAATTTTAGTGAAGAAAAAATTATGTAGAGGCCTGATCTATTCTTTGTTTCGCTATTCACGCTGCAGCAGACTAGTTTCGCCGAATTCACGGCTTATCAGTGCTGATTAGACCTCAAGTATTTTAGGTTATTGGCGGTGTTAAGGACCGTACATCTAAACTAATCAAATCGCCAGGTACAGTTTTGAAGTCAACATAAATGTTGCTTTGAGTTTGAGTGATTGTATTGTTGATGTAATTGTTGCTTTAGTTTTAAGTACAGTCTGTTTAAATTGTTCAAATGACAATTGTTGCTTTAGCCTTACGTAAATACACAGATGAATTCAATGTATTCGTTACTGTAGCTTCAAGTTTAGTATCTTTTTAAATAGTCGTTGCTACAGTTTCAATATTAGTCTGTTTGAATGATGAACGTTGTCTTTACTTGTTTAGCTGTTGTCTTTAACTGTTGATTTAAGAACATCTATACTAAAACAGAGCTTCCATTGTTGTTGGGTTAAATTCCGGATTTGACACCATCGCTGGATAGCTTCAGATTGTATCTGTAACGCCGTTCGTAGGACAGTGTGTGTAGAATTAGTTTCGAAGCTGTTACGATATTTAGTAAAATTAATTTACAGGTGGATGATTATAAAATAAATTCCGTACAAAAATGATTTTATCTTTAAAAAAAGGTTTCCTAGGAGAAAAAAATTCCACAAGATTCCTATGTAGGTTTTTAGTTTTATTAAGGAAAGTTTGGACATGTTAGAGGGTGTTTCAAAAGTTGTTCAATATGAGTAGTTTATCTCGCACTTCAGACGCGTCGCCAGAGGGCGCTACAGTGTCGACCTCGAGGGAGGGGGGGAAGGGAAGTGCAATGATGTCATGAAAGACGATGACGTCATAGTTCCACTACGTGTCACCGGAGGGCGCGTTGCTAGGCCGCCATAACAGGCGCTTATGACAATCATCGTCTTTGATGGCATCATTGCATTTCCTTCGTTTCTTGAGGTCGACACAAGTAGCGTCCTCTGGTGGCGTGTCTGAAATGCGGGGATAACTACTAATATGCTTTTCGCCATTTCTAATCATCATGTGAAGCCTAACCCTAAACGAAGGTACTGGAAGCATCATCTGTTCTGGACAGTATTCATTGATCCTCTTAACCCCCTGAATACTGATACGCACTTTATTAACATCACCGATTTCATGTTGTTGAAAGAAGAGCAACGGTTCTTTGTTAGAAAAGCGATTTAAATATGTAGTGTTACAGGGTTTTGGACAATCGGTCAGTGGTGTGCTTTTCTAACAAAGAACCGTTGCTCCAATTACACCGACGTTAAATGGTTTGAATATGTAGTGTTACAGGGTTTTGGACAATCGGTCAGTGGTGTATTTAACGTCGGTGTAATTGGAGCAACGCACCGACGAGCCTTTCATATTGCGGGCCCCCAAAATAATGCAAAAAAAAAATCTAAACCCGTAGCTCATCAATACCGAGCAGTTTGAAGTGTTAAAACCGGTGCTAGCTGTCTGTAAAGTTTCAACTGATATACTGGAGGGAAGATAGATAGTTAGTCAACAGCAGCCAGACTTCAATCATTGGACTACTCTTATATGTTCGAATAGTGGGATTTGACCGTCACTCTGATAACGCATCCACAGCACCAAAGGGCGATTTTTTTTTTTTTGCTAACCATTGAATCGAGCTCAGCCTTAGTCTAGACCAGTGCTTTTCAACGCTATAAACCGGGTTTCGATACCCGTGGTGGGCAGAGCACAGATAGCTCAATGTGTAGCTTTGTGCTTAACTACAAACAAACAATCTTAACCTTTTCCAGTATCATTCACCCACCATAAGGTTTTCACAACAGCTTACTCATTCACTCCAGTTTGAAAAAAGACAAAGTACTAAATTAAAATGTAAAATTCTTTATTATGACTTAAATATTCATCAAACTTCGACTAGAATAAATAATAATAACTAATGAATTTTTGCTCATGAATTTGATGTATAATTGATAATACTCACTCACCCTGATCTCATTAACCCCTGGATGAACCAGTCACACAGTTGAGAGGCGCTGGGCTAGAGGAACAGTACCCACTGCCAACGTTTGGGCTACTCTATTCGAATGGCTTGACATGGGCTCCCTCTTTTAACGCACCCATGACCTTAAAGTGGAGAGCGCGATTTTGAGACAATGGGGCGTAAATCATGAAACCACGGATTCCAGCCCTTTAACCACTAGGCCACGTGGTTTCGAAACACCCAGAAACCACGTCTAAACTTTTCTGAATAAAACTTCACGGTTCTCAATGTTCCTCTGGTGAAATTTTCATATTGGATAAGTAGCTTTAAGATATGATGAATTTAAATCACCCTGTATGTCAGTTTTTCCTGTTGCTTCCAGGTGAAGGCGGACCATAAAGAAGAACAGGAGTTCTTGCAAAACCTTTTTAAGTTCATGAAAGAAAGAAACACGCCCATTCATCGTGTTCCGCACCTTGGTTTCAAACAAAGTAAGTGTGGTTCATAATGTGTAAATATATTTTTTTTGTCAAATGTACTTTTTCAAAAGTTAATTTTATTTTGCCGAGAGAAGCACTTAATTAAACCGTTTATTAAATACGTAGGCGGCAGAACCCGAGGTGCTAGGGGCGGGCTCTAGTGGCATTGCCCTACCAAATTTTGGCCCGCTATAGGGGCTCTAGTGGCATTGCCCTACCAAATTTTGGCCCATCAGCAAAGTGAATTATTTTTGGAAGGGGTAATGGAGATTCGTGTATAATTATCACGAAAACTTTTGAGTGGGTAACTGTGACTTGTGACTGTTTCAACTTTGAATTCAATGGTCGCAGTTAACTCTAGCAAATAAGGTGACTCCACCCCTCCAAAAAAAATATTCAAATGTGTTCCGTCGCCTGTAATATCTGGTACATCTTGACTTTGGCGAAATTATCAACCAGAAAAGTTTCATTGATATATTGTCTGTGGAAGAAAGAAAGAAAGAAAAAAAAAACATGCATAAATAATGTGACATGATGAATGAATAAAAACAAAATCCGATTTTTCCTTCATTTTTTTTTCTCTCTCTCTCTCCTTTTTTTTCCTTCTTCTTTTCACGTTGTTCCTTCCTCAAGTTTTATTGGTTTGTCCTCGATAAAGCGAAAAATCGTAAATCTATCAACTTAGGAAAATAAAACACTGATTTGTAACTTGAGAATCTCTTCCCACTACCCCTCTGGTGGTCGGTTTAGAAATTAGTTATACTTATTACCTACTTGTTCTGCACCAGTTAAAGCTAAAACATCCAGTTATTCTTTACACACATTTGGTAAACTGTATGTATTAAAGCTATGAATTATGTTAACTTCCACATTTTTTTTTCTGTTCTCTAGAAATGAGCATTAATTTTTCCACACATATATTTTTCATCGTATTTATGTATTAATGATTGCGTTTTCTGTTTCTTCACGAAGCTAATTTTGAGGATCCAATGTTTTAAATCACACGTAGATGTTAAACTATAAAACATAATTAGTTTTTCGTCGGCAAAAAAAAAAACCTCTTCAAATATTTTATTTTATTGTTTTATCTATTCGCTTAAATAGATAAAGCAGACGGCAAAGCCGAAAGCCACAAACAGAGGCCGCTTTTCGTTGAAACTTTTCTTTTTAAGAGTCCAATAAATTTTTTTTTTTTGTTAAAGGACAGATCAGATAACGTATTTTCGTAAAACGGACGTATTGACAGACAGCATCTCTCTAAACACGCTTTAAGAATTCGTAAAAATTTATAGCGATGAAATTATGATTTTTGTATTTACAATAAGCTTGCACGTAATATCACATTCATTAATGACGCAACCTGGTGTCGATTGTATCCCCAGTTTCACGAGCATGCGTATAATATCAGATTATGTTTTTCTAACTGCTTTGCCCTGATAACGAAAGTATAAAATTTAAAGACTATTAAATTTTCATTGTCAAGGTTTAACAATATTTTACAAATTCAAGGACAGCTGTTTACAACTGTGCCAGGGTTACAAAATAAAAACTGTCGTAAATAATTCATTGTCAAGGTTTAACAATATTTTACAAATTCAAGGACAGCTGTTTACAACTGTGCCAGGGTTACAAAATAAAAA